TTGTATTGAAACCTTAGATATTTCCCTTTCATTTGATATAATTTTTTTTGAAAATCTAACACTTATTCTGCTCACTGGGGGGATTTAAAATAGTAACTTTTTTACAAAAAATAACTTTTTCAACTTAACTTTTGAAAGTGTTCCGGAAATACTGCGTCCTTTAAACATATATCAAATTAAAGCTTATTTTATGTACTATAAAATGAAAAAAAAAAATTTGTCCCGACACTTTATCTTCTGCATGTAAACGGTTGCCGTAGTTAAAAAAACACTATTTTTGTGTTAAAATTTTCGATTTTCGATTTTAAATTTTCAACTTAAAAATGCTATAACTTTTTGAAAAATGTATATATCAGCACAAATTTTTTTTTTCTAAATACATTATAAGTACATCTTTCATTTGACATACTTTTTATTAAAATTGGACAATTTCCCCTTATATAGGGGGCGTTCAAAACTTAAAATATTGTAAAAAACATAGATCTTTTTCAACTGAACTTTTGAAAATGTTCCGGAAATACTGCGTCCTTTAAACATATATCAAATCAAAGGTTATGTTATATACTATCAAATGAAAAAAAAAAATTTGTCCCGACATCTTATCTTCTATGTGCAAATGGCTGTCGAAAATTTAAAAAAAAATGTAATGTTTGCGATAAAAATTACATTTTATCGGGATGTTTTTTGTACTTAAAACTGCCATAACTTTTTCAAAAATGAACAAATAAAAATAATATTTTTTTGTATTGAAACCTTAGATATTTCCCTTTCATTTGATATAATTTTTTTTGAAAATCTAACACTTATTCTGCTCACTGGGGGGATTTAAAATAGTAACTTTTTTACAAAAAATAACTTTTTCAACTTAATTTTTGAAAATGTTCCGGAAATACTGCGTCCTTTAAACATATATAAAATTAAAGCTTATTTTATGTACTACAAAATGAAAAAAAAAAATTTGTCCCGACGACCTATCTTCTATACGCAAATGGCTACCATATTCAAAAATATGCTATTTTTGTATGAAAATTGTGGGTTTTGTATTTTATTTTAATAGAAGTTGATGTTACTTTTGCAATTATCCATCAATTTTTTAAAATTAAACACTATCTACAGATTTGCATCGAAGCGTTTCTTATGATAGTGATTTTAATCACTGTCAGATTAAATCTATCTGGACCCAACTATGCAATGTCTCCACTATGCCGCGACCCCACTGTGCTACCGTTTTTTAAAAATTACAATAAAATGTTAATTGTAATAAAAGTTATGTGTTATCAGTGAGATCTAACATCATAGTATAATGATCTACATTATCATAATATCATCAATATAGTAAAATAGCAGTGTTCAAAACGTAAGGAACATGTCAATTATTACAAGCAGTGAGAACAATATAAACCCATTTTCTTACTTACTGAACAGCTATACATATTTATATGTATATTCATTTTACAATGTTATTAACAAGTAATGCATTCAATTCTAAGAGTCGGCCATAATTATTTGAAAATATTATTTTAACCTGTCTTAACCAATATTTTTAACTATAAACCCTCCAATTAACCTATTAAGACATAGTTGCAATCATTATCTTAACTAATTAAAATGTATTAAATTAATCTTTTGTTTAATTAATATATACAGCTATAATAAAAATTATACCGTATGTCACATCCTCAATACGCAAATGTATTTGCGTATTGAATGTTTTAAAAATCTATTTATCTTTAAACGCGTGTTTAAAGTGAACTATAACTAACATTATTTAATGTCTATTACGGTTGTAAAATTCTTCATAAGATTTGGGAAATTAGGCTAAATATTTTAGAAATATTTTAGATAAACCGATTCTATAACATTTCAATTTAATAGTGTAAAATGAAACGTATATCTAGTACACAGAAATATTTAAAAAAAATTTTATTATAACTTTGTTGGATTTTTTTAGTATTACACACCAACACACATATTTATTTTCCATTTAATTTTATTATCATATTACCTACATTTAAACTTTTGTGTTTTCATAAAGTTAACTGCACAAGTGCATCCTGTGGAAGGCTTTACATTAAATTGAATATTACTCAACTCTAGTATCTTGCTCTTATGTAGTTGAGAGGGATTTATTTTTTTTAATTCATCAAATACTACAGCAAGTCTTTTATTTAATGGATTTTTACTAAAAACTAAAAGGGATTGTTTTGTTACAGACTGTAATAAAACGAATTCTACTAGAAAAAATAAAAAAAAATTGCAACAAACTAAGGCAGTTCGATTCATAGTAACTCAAAAGAAATGACTAAAAGTAAATTAAATGATTTTGCAGAATGATATAAAAACAATCAACAAGTAGTCATGGTAATTAAAATAATTATATTGTGTTGTTACATCAAAGTGTAACTTATTAATTATACAAATGTTTTTAAGAATATCTTAAGTCACAGTAAACTGTAATTATATAATTACATTAATTTGTTTTTTTTTAATATTGAAATGATAATATATTTAACATTTTTTTTAAATTTATATTAAAATACTATTTTATTTTATCAGCTCGATGGCAATATATTTTTTTATGAAAGTAAAAAATGTATAAAAGTTATTTTAAGTATTTTCACTAATTATTAAGTATTACATTTTAAATTTAATATATTAATTCATTATTAAATTTTGTGCTTTTAATAATTGAAAATTTTGTTATCTGTAATAAAAGTATTAATATATTTTATATGTATTGTGTTATATTTAATTTTATTAAGTCAATCCTAAAGAATTTATTTTATCTCGCATTATTTCGATATTTTTAAATAAACATCTCATAGACTTGAATTTAATCAAACAAAAATCTCGTAAGTTTGTACATTTGCTTTGTTTTTTTGCTTCTTAGGAAAACATTATAAGTGAGCTACAAATCCAACAATAATAATAAAAATATGAAGTTTAATAATGTATATTTTGGGTGTTAGGGCACTCTAAGTATATATTTTATTTTTTGGAGTTATTAGCAAGATTATTACGTTTTAAACACTGATTGGGTAAACACTAAAAATGTCAAAATTTACATGGGTCTTACGGAACGTTTTAAATTGTTTATTTATGTTTTAAGCAGAATTTTTTTAAAAACATGTTTCTCAACAATCCTTATTATTATTGCATATTATTTCCTGTAAATTCAGCAAATATTTTTTCATCAAAGGTAAAAATAAAAAAATGTTAGACAAATAAATTCTTAAATTATTTTTTTTTTTTAGTTTTATTCGAATATATTTACGAAATCTTAGTATTTTTACAGTTTAGTTGTATTTGTTTATAATACTTAGTGAGCTTTATAAATTTTAGGCAGTTCACTGGAATTAATATCATTGCACTATCACCACTACACTGCTGAATCAAACGTGCGTATGGCTATCTATAAATTTATTTTCATCACTATAATATACAAATACATGTATAGAGGTACAATTCTTCTGAACAGCCCGTAACATATTTTAAACATTTTTTGCTCTTTCAAAAAATGTTTATTTCAAATTTTTAGTGCAGGCATGGGAGGTATGTCTTTATTTTTCAATTTTCATAAAAATGTACATCACTAGTAAAGGGTATTGAACGATATTGTATTAAGCAGGCGACCACAGAAAGTGTACCTAGCAGACAGTGTTCTGTAGTGTTCTACTACTGTCTTTTATAAAAGCCACTCATAATATTACATTAACATAAATTTTGCAATTTAATATTTCAACTGCATAATTAAATGTTAAATTGTTTAAATTTATGTTTGCTTTAAGTTGTGTTAATTTATAATAAAATACTTGTATAAATAATTGTTATTGATTAATAGCAATAATAATAATAATTATTATTTCTAACTATATCCACTTCCACGTCTATGTTACATATTTTAAATATTATTTATTTTTTAAATTATACATAATAATGTATTTAGCTTTTAATTTATTATTTACCTATTGTAACAAAAACTGAACTTATTTGTTTAGTGTTAGAATTATTATTTATTATTTAATTGTCTGTTTTAGGGACAATAACGAGTTGAATGAGTCAAACATTAGTTGAAAGTTTATTGACTTCTAGTGTAGATTATAGAAAAAAGATTATAACTGAAGAAAGGTACACATTTGTTAACGGTAAACTAAAATTGGATAAGAAGACACGAAAGTCGTGATTAATTGTTATTTATATTAATTTATACGCGAGAAGCCATCATCATTAATATGGAATGACACAAAACAAAAACACTTAAATCATAATAATGTAAAAAAAATTAAAATAATAATAGCTATTATGTATAAAACAATTTTTTACGTATAATAAATTTGGTTCAACTTTATGTATAATTTGCATAAATTAATAACTGAACAATGTTATTTAATTACAGTTGGCACAAGCAAATATCATTTGACAATAAAAAATATACATTGAATAAGCTATACAAATGAACTTTCATTATTATTATAATTATAATTTTTATGTTTAGTAATAGAGGGTATACATTTGTGTGGAGACTAATTTACAATTCCAGTATAACAGTTTTGTATAATGTGCTGAACCAAAAAACAATTTGATTCTCATCTTCAACAATATTTTGATAGTAATGAAAGCAATACCATTGTAATGAAAATAATACACACAAATGCATACATTTCGTACTATTAATAGTAATTATTATAAATAAAATTACCTTATTATATCGTCGCGATACAATCTAGACTAGACCATTAAATTAAACATTACATTAATCATATCATTTATATTTAAGCTAACGTTAAAAGATTATAATTATGCGTATTTAGGTACAAGACAAATAGGCGATTTCAGAGTTAGGTCACAGCTTAAAGACTGACATGGTCCGGAAATACAACAACAAAAAACATTCATTATTAACAGGAAAGTAAAAACAAATAATAAATATAAAGAAATAATAAGTGGATGTCTATAAATAATAATTATAGTATTAACACGAAAATAATTATCTTTCAATTATCAACTGATCGCTTAATAATTAATAGGCGATGGATCAGGCAGCTATCACTGCGATGGCAGACGTGTCCATAGTAGTCAAGTTCGATTTAATATCATTAGTAACAAGTGCACATTGAGCGGTCCCACTCACTTCGGCATTGTGTTTCTGTTGCATTATTTTGGTTATAATTTTGGTGCTATCTTCGCACAAAACTGGATTTCCTAAAAATGTTAATCATCATTAAAGTAATTATTAACAAATAATACATTTTGATTTTAATACACAATATTTTTTATGTTAATATGAAAATATTAGTAATATCAATTTCCATAATCGTTAATATAGGAGCTTTAGAGCATTATTCGAAGTACACCAGCGATTTTATTTAATAGAAAAATAATTAGAACTAGTAATATTTAAAAATACGTTTCTAAAGTAAACAAATTAAATTTTAATAGAATTTACATCTTGGACTAATAATCAAATATTATTGTAAAAGTCTGACTAAAATAATATATTTGTAAAATGAAAATAACAAATGTACTGCAACATACAAGGTAGTTTTTAACTTTTCAACTTAACTGAATAGTTACAAATATAATTAACAAAATTAATTATAATTATAATTGTATATAAATTGAGTTAATACATTGTAATACTTATATTTTATAAATTTAAAATAGTAAAACATCTGTCGGCCAATTCCCTTTGTTGTCCTGGCTATATCCTTAATAAAAATTAAAAATAATAAGCTAGTTTTAACACCAATAATTAAGCTTTAAGTTTTGTTGCACGTGGAAAACTTAAACTGGTAAATGACGTAATGTTATTTATTTATTGTTCTGTACTCACCCTAATTAGTAAACGTATTCAAAGTACATATTATTAAAAAGTTACAGATTGTTTGTAAATTTAAATAGAATAATATTTGAGGAATCGGGCAATTCAGTTTACACGAAGTTTATCTAAAGATATAGTACATAAACGGCTTTGTACTATAATTATTTACTTCTTTAATATTTATCTACAATTTATCAATACATTTCGTAATCAAGTCATAAACATAATAAACATAAATTTTTACAATTCAATAAAATTAAATTTCTAATGAAAAAAAAAGTACCAGTAATTTTAGCTTTATCACGCTTAAATCGCACATTTTTTATTAAACTATGACTATATTACATGCAGAAAAAAAATACAATTTAGGCTAACATGAACAGTTTTTCTAAATAAAATTGTATTTATTAATTTATTAAAATATTATTAATATTAACCAAATTGTATTCATGTTTCTGAAGATTTCAAATTGAAAAAATAAGTTTTATGTTTAGAACGAATTTTATTTAGACACATTTTTTAAATACATTTAAAGGGGAGAAAAAATAAAAAAAGTACAGAATTTTTCTTATAAAAGCCATTAATCATAATTTTATTCTTCTACAACATTAAAACATAAAAAATAAAATCCTATAACACTTCTAATAATAATTTTTATTTTCAACTAATACTCATAGTTAATCATACCTTCTAAGTAGATTTGCATCGTGCTATTAACTCCATGCAGCTTACACTGTGTCATTTCTACCAATTCTTCTCTTAATGTAACAATATTGTTGTACTCGAGATCAGCATGACATAGAACTGGATATCCATGGAAATCGTTCGTTAGACTGCTTAAAGAATTATATGAAGCTATTAACGTCTCGAGAACTGGTAAATGAATCTGAAAATGAATCATGATTATTAATCTAATGAAAAATGCTTAAAAATCAAAATTATAAAATTAAACCTGAGAAGAATCTGGAAGAACATGTAAGAAATTATGTGATACGTCTAATACATCTAAATTTAATCCTGTTAAGTCATATGGCGATAATTCAATAAATTTATTATGACTTATATTTAGTCTTTTAAGGGTTGTAATTCCAATCAATGTACCTCCCAAGGAAATTAATTCGTTTTGATCTAATTTCAGGTGTTCAACGCCTGTCACAGGTTCACTCAATATCTACAATAAGTCAAAAATCAATGAAAAACATAATTACTAAAAAAAGTATATAAATACAAAGCTAAATACTTAATTACACATGCTGAGCTTACCTCTGTATGTCCACTGAGCTTGGAAATTTTATTATGCGACAAATCAACGATTTTTAGATCTTTGAGTCCTTTAATCTCAGCAAATGAAAACTCTGTCATATTATTATGCGACAAATTGAGTTCAGATAATATATTAAGGGGCAATAATGATTTATTCAACCTTCTAATACGGTTGTTACTAAGTTCGAGTGTAGCCATCTGACTGGCTTCTTGAAATTCATTAGAGTCCAACTGAAATTATTAGAGAAAATGTAATCAATTTTTTAAAAATCAATAATTCAGGGTAGCAAATCAAATTCAACTTTTACTCAAAAAAAAAGATAATTTCTCTAAGAATTCAGAACAATTTTTTAGTCAAAAATAGGAAAATATCTTTAAAATCGTTTATAAAGTATTATTGAACTAATGTAATTAGCAATTTCGAAAGAGAAAAAAATTGATAAAGTCATACTTTTTAAATGTGTTCATGAATATTAACTATCGTTAAATTTTTTAGTACAAGTTGAAACATGTTTAGAGGCGCCAATATTCATTGCTTTCCAGATAATACGCAGCTAGCAAAATATGTGACATTTTTTTAATCAAAGCGAGAAAAAGATCGTAGTAACAAGTATTTAGTATTTATTAACAATAAATCAACTGTCAAGGAAGTAATATTAAACTAATACATTTTTTTAAATTAAAATTTTAATCATAATGTGTAACTTTGAAAAAATGTTTTCATTTATTATTTAAAAAAATTATTACTTTTCGTTTTTAGAATATTTTTAACTATAGAAAAAGATAGTCCAAAAGTTATTTCATTTGTCAGAACTTAACTAACACTCTTAAAAAAAATGTCCGTATTTTTAAATACATGTACTTGGGGTCTTTATTGTATAAAATTTAAGAGAATATATGAATGAATAGTAATAAAAATGTTATATTTGTGGACGAATTTTGTATACATTAATTCAAAATTGTACTTGAAGTGTGCAAATATATAACTATATTAAAAATATACAGTGACGTATAGGAATTTTCCTACAGTGCACCTAATATGCATTTTTACCACAATATTATATAAAAAATAAATAGTTAGTATAAAGAACATTAAACAAATAATAGTACAGAAAACACATCAGAACTCTTATTAAAGTTAAATCGCACAAAAACTTTACCTCTTCAATTTTGTTCCCAGTCAAGTCTAACCACACAAGTTTTTTCGACCTAGATAGAGTGTTATTCAAAGTTGTCAGTTGATTGCCAGCACAATAAAAATATCTTAGTGCCTTCAAACTATTCATCTCAGGTGGTAAGTGATCCAACATATTATTTGACACAGTTAGCGATATAAGACTGTCGTTATCTTCAGGTAACTCCCCATCCAAAGATTTTATTCGGTTGTTTTCTAGCCATAACCATTCTAAATCTTTTTGATTTCTATATTAACATATTTGTTAATAAAACCATCTTATTTTATATATTTAATAAATTTTATTTTATATCTCTTAACTAATCAAAATACAAAATTTAAAATATAGAAATTGGACAATTTTTATTAATTAGCAGTCTTGGTAGTTAATAATAAAGTGGGCATAATTTACCCATACATTAAATGTATGGGTAACATTCAATAACATAATAAATGAATGCATTGTATTTGTCCTTTAGGTCTATTATGTGAAAATCAGAATTTAGCTGAAAATTATTAGTGCATTACCTGAGATTTCCATTTAATTCTGTTAAATTGTTGGCTCCAAGCTGTACTTTTCTCAAAGTCTTCGGAAATGATCCGTTTGTGATATCAGTCAAATTATTCGTAGCCATTACGAACGTACTCATAAGAGACAGACTCTATAAACATACAACTTTCTATAAATTTAAGTAAATACATAAATCCATTATATATATATATGAGTTTAATTGGAATGTATATTTTTTATTATAAAATACAAATTGAAAAACAAAAACTCATCGAAGTTATATTCATAAAATTAAGACATTATTCAAAATTGTTAATAGACCTATTTTGAAATAAAAATCCGTGAAAAATTTCACGGAGTAAAAATTTTAATTTCAATAATTTAATCTTTGTGTCGTAAACATAAATGTAAATAGAGGGGTGCTTTGACTACTTAATACCTCTGAGATAACATTAAAACCACCAACTAGATTTCACTATTGTTATTATATAAATAATTACTGTTTTTTTTTCTTATTTTTTAATATTGTGAATGTACAATGTCATGTATATTTTACTTAAAATATAACAATATGTTTTTGTTTCAAAATTATTATTAAAATATATAGTTATAAGAAAAAATATATATTTATGACAATATAATTGTTTATTTGTAAATAGATAAAAAGTGGGGTACGCTATTTTGAGTGAAACGAGAAAAAATATCTTTAGTCTTTGCTACTTAAGCACTCCAAATTAAAAACACTATCTGCGCCTATAGAACAAATTTTGACCAATTATTTCCGTAGTAATTGTTATTTTAAAATATAAAGTTGTAGTGAAGAAGAGGATGTGGCATTTTATTATTTTACATTACTCTGTCGCACTCTTCCTCTACTCCATTTTTAAAAATGTTAATAACTTCCCAAATAACGAACCATGAGTTGTTATCATCCAGAAATTTTCTTAACTAAATCAACTTTTAATTTATAAGCTAGTTAAGTATGTATGTTGCCATTAAAACAAATAAATTTTAAACTAAAATTATATTAAAAACAATCATTTAAAACTAAAAATATTTAACTCAAAAAGCCTCATAATTACTAAAAAAAATCAAGTATACATTATTTTGGGAACAATGTTACCATTATCAACGATAGACGCATGTTATTTAGCCTTAAATTAATATTTTTAATATAATTTTAATTTTAAATAATATTAGCCAAAAGTAATAAATTTTTAATATGAAAAGATAAAGTTAATACCCTCATAAAATACGAATATAAAATTACTTAATAATTAATAAATCGAGAACACTATAAAACTAATATATACCAAAATAATTTTTTTAACATAGTTATTACTTCAAATGAAATCAGGTAGCTAATGTTAAAAGAATTATCCTGTACATGCTTTTAATAGTTATTCAAATGAATAAAATTTCAGTAGTTTTTCAACGTCTGAAGCTTATAATAAACAAACAAGATATTTTATATGCTCATTTTCACAACGTTCAAATGACCCGACCAATGTTATGTAACATGAAATTAAGCGTTTATGGATGTCACTGAAAAATTAGATACATTTATATTTTTGTAAAAATAACGACTATTATCTTTTAAATTTTACAATATTAATTTATGTTTTAGTAAGTTTTTTCTTTAAAATACAGCTGCAAAATATACTGGTATATATATATATATATATCGTATATAGCTTATACGTAGCAAAGATAAACCATAAATCACTATTTACAATTTTTATTTTATTCTTCCTAAACTTTCACTCTTTGTGAGAAGAAGTTTAAAAATCATAAATTTCGATATGCGGCCTCAATTGTATTTTGAAAAATATTTACTTGGAAGTCTCCCGATGCAACACTGTGAATCGAATTTCTAGCTAAATTCAACACCTCAATACTAGGCATGTGCTTAAAAATTTGAGTTGGAACTTCAGTCAGTCGGTTATCAGATAAATATAATATTCTTATTTTGTTCATGCCAATAAATGCGTCGTCTGGTAGTGAGCTAAAAATTATAAAAAAATTAAAAAAATTTTTTAAATTCTCGTGTTTAGTTTTATTATTCTCAAACAAAATTTTCAATTTCTTTACAACATTGTACGTAATAGATTTCATTGAAATCTTAATAGCTATTAATAGTAGTAGAATTTTCTAAATCAGACATATTTTAAAATTTAGTATGTCTAATAATAATACTATTTCACAAAAAATAGGAAATTAGTCATAAAAATATTATATCACTATGAACTCTAGAGATATAAATTGAGAAAGCCTTTAGATACATTAAAAATATATAATTAAAACTCATAGTGTTACTTATGCACAAGTATCACGGTATAATTTAAGTAAAAGATAGTTAAATTTTATAATGTCCTGTTTATATGTGCATTTTTTATGCATTATTAATTATGCTTAATTTTTTATTTTATTAGTTAAATAATTAAAATAGGTATATCATTTAATATTTAAGAAATATCTTAGATTGTAGATAGTAATACACAATCATAGGTTGTAGAAAACTTATTTTTAAATACAAATGAAATAAATAGAATGGTTCATAATTATTTTCATAAATGCCTTAATACACATCCACACATATAATACTTTTTTTATTCTGAAGGGCAATGTGAACACGTCGTTTATTATTATGTTCGATTAGACTTTAGACTAAATTGCTATCAAGAAAAAAAAGAAAGATTGAATACTACATTCGCTGAATAATTAATAAATTAAAACAAATATTACTAGTACATAGTTGAATTATAGTAAATTTTGACTGAAATTAGTAGTAGTATATTATAAATTAATGACTTATTGATAAGAATGTGAAAATCATTCTAATTAACATAATTTTGTTATTTTAGTAGTCAATTTTTTACATCAGCTAATTTCATTGGAGTAAATTTAAAATTTCAGTAAATATATACGACAATGTAGTCAACACAAATAATCACACTCTAAGGAGGATGGTATCACGTTTTGACCTATGGTAGTCACGAGATCATTTTTATAGGCAAATTTTAATTAAAAGCTAGGATTTACTTCATTTTTCTTTTAACATATGTTATAATAACTGAACTTTAATCATAAAAGAAAAACGAATAATATCAGTTAAAAAATGTATACAAATAACAACAATCGTAAAAATTGAATTAAAATTGTATTGCTTGTGTATATTACCCCCTTAAATTTATTACTTACTCAATTATATTACCTATGTTTTGTAAAAACTAACAAAATTTTAAGATAAAAGCTAACTTTTACAAGACTGGCTTGGCATTAATAATATCTAGTAAAAATTGTTCACCCTTGTCATCTTTTTGATAATTTAACTGAATCATGATCTAATAATTTTCTTTAATAAGCTATTTTTAAATGCATTTAATATTAAAATATATTGTTGACAATTTTAGTTTCGATGCGAAGCGGAGAAGGTATTAATTTTACTATGATGTGTTTTTTTTTATGTCTGTTGCTACTTTTTCTCAGCTCTCACTGGACCGATTTCTTTCAAAAATACGTCAAAAGATCACAAATCGTATCTAGTTGAAGACATTACCCTTAAAAATTGAAAAAAATTCCCTCGTTCCCCGCAAATGGGGGAAATATCCAAAAAAATTACAAATTTAAAAATCGCTAATTTTCGAAATTTTTTCACTTTTTTTTCTTAAAACTTCCATAACTTTTTGAAAAATCAACAAATCAACATAATTTTTTTTTATACTAAAACCTTAGATATTTACCTTTCATTTGATATCATTTTTTTGAAAATCTATCACTTAACCTGCTCATTGGGGGGGATTTAAAATGGCAACTTTTTTACAAAAATTAACTTTTTCAACTTAATTTTTGAAAATGTTCCGGAAATACTGCGTCCTTCAAACATATGTCAAATAAAAGCTTTTTTTATATACTATAAAATGAAAAAAAAATTTGTCCCGACACTTTTTCTTCTACATTTAAACGGCTTCCGTAGTTAAAAAAAACACTGTTTTTGTGTTAAATTTTCGATTTTCGATTTTAAATTTTCAACTTAAAAATGCTATAACTTTTTGAAAAATGTATATATCAGCACAAATTTTTTTTTTCTAAATACATTATAAGTACATCTTTTATTTGACATACTTTTTATTAAAATTGGACAATTTTCCCTTATATAGGGGGCGTTCAAAACTTAAAATATTGTAAAAAACATAGATCTTTTTCAACTGAACTTTTGAAAATGTTCCGGAAATACTGCGTCCTTTAAACATATATCAAATTAAAGCTTATTTCATGTACTATAAAATAAAAAAAAAAAATTTGTCCCGACGACCTATCTTCTATGCGCAAAAGGCTACCGTATTCAAAAATATGCTATTTTAACAAATTTTTTTTTTATAAATTAAACACTATCTACAGATTTGCATCGAAACGTTTTTTATGATAGTGATTTTAATCACTGTCAGATATCATCAATACTGGACCCAACTATGCCACGACCCCACTGTGCCGCCACCCCACTGTGCTGGGTTTTTTTATTATTTTAATTATACTTTTGTTGAAAAAAAAATTTACATAGCACACTTTTTCTATCAAAGAAGAAAATGTTCATGAATTTAATTCTACAAATATTTTTTTTAAATATGCCATTCACTTGAATACTTTAAAAACATTATCAGAATTCATGTTCAAAGAATTAAAATGAACTATTAACATATTAAAGTTCAGATGAAGCCTGCAGGTAAATTGTTCGTTTATGATACATGACGCCCTAAAATAATAAAGAAAAAAAAATTTTTTTGTGATAAATTATGGGTTGTTTACATTATATTTTATAAAAACTTTTTTACTAGTTTTTATTTGTAATTATGTAATTAATTAATGTATATTAATAAAAATATTAATAACAATTACAAAAATAAGGGTTTTCTAAATACTACTATTACAAGACCTTGATTGTTGATAAAGAGTTAAAAATATTTATGATTAAATGTCTTGATTTGTTTATATGCTGAAACGCCATAGTTTTTAATAGAATACTTTGTAATTTAAGCAATCATAAACATTTTGTTCATAAGCGTAGAAATTATAATCATAGTATTTTATAAATTTGGTAACATGAGTTTAATTCATTAATAAATCATATTTTAGAAAATACTATAGGTAAATTTAAAAAAAAGTTTAAAGGCTTCACTTTTTTCAATAAAACCAAGATACACCTTCAATAAGGTAAGAATTTTTACTTCGTGGAAATTTAATGTATACTAATATTTTGAACATCTTCTTTATGGCATTTGATGTAGCTAATTATTTTAATAAATATTATTAAAATATTTAAATTGTTTTATTGCAATAAAACTAACCTAACATGAGTTTAAAATAATATTGAATTTTAAATGGTTTAATCAAAAGTTATCGACTGATAACTGTTTAATTTAACGCGACCATACTTTTTAAATCAATAAAACTTAATCTCTTAAAGATGTTCTACAAATTAATGTTATAACTAGCCATTTCTCACCTGAGATTATTATTATTAAGCTTGAGGTCCACAATAGGTATGCCAAGTTCATTGAACTTCCTGTTATGGAGGTCATGTAGTTCCGAGTACTCAATGCTAAGCACATAGTCGAACAAAGCATCGAACTTATTCTGCAGGGCTTCGATGACGCTCTCAAAGGACTCCATTTTCTGACATACTACTAGAATTCGAGGCTTGACCATCAAACTATTATAGCTACACGTGCACGGTGTTATACTTCGTCGTACTGAACATTGTATTATCGTGTCATCGATTGAAAAGGGACCACAAATACTTCCCACAATTAGTGATATAAAGACTATCAAGTTTGTATTTATCCAATTCATATTGACAACACAGTCCATTAGCTACTTCACCAAAAGTTTAACTGGTAGTAACACCGGTTAATTATAATTATAGTTGCTTCTAATCCTTTGAAGTTAGCCAGGCTTACTCTTCGTTCACTATACAGTTTACTAAATACAGTAAATATTAAGTATATTACTTAATATTTAATATGTATGTGTATTTATATTAATATAAATACAGTAAGAAAATATTTAAAAAATTGAAAAAAAAAAAAAACTGCGAATAATAAATAGAAAAAGAGGCTACACTCAGTTTGTGAATTATTGCTACTGTTACTGCTTCACCAACGATGCTGCTGCTGTTGCTGATGGTGACGTCTCAGTTATACACCACATCCCTGCTGCAACACACATGAAATCAGTTCATTTCATTAATTAATACAGAAAAATCAGCATTCTTTATTTTATTATTTATTTATATTGATCAATTTGACACCGATGACGGCGCCGGTCGGGTCAAATAAACGGTCACTCCTCTAAGCTGGCCTCACTGCAGATCATTATTCACACTTAGAAACATAATTTATTCCCACTTCTTTACTATTCTCTCTTACTATTGGTCTCAAAAAATTGAACTTGACCAGCAATGTATTAATAAGAGAAAAAACTGTATAGCCTTTCAGTACTCTTATTTTTAGGTCTTTAAAAGGACATTATGTACCGTTTATTAAGAGATAAAGTAATGTATAATTATAAAACTCAACCCTAAAATTTGTAAAGATGATTCGTATTCAACAAATTTTTCTTCGTCTCGTGACAAATAAACATGTAAGTTACTTAATTTGTGTAAAGCATTCATGACATACTGTTTAAATCTCATTTAAGTTATATTTCATTATAGACAAACAAAAATTTAATTTTAAAAATATATTCCATAAAATTATAAATTTGTTTATTGAGAGAATTTTCAATACTAACTTATTAACTGAACTAACTTTTAACTTGTTAAAACTAACTCAACACGTATTATACCTTTTTTTTTATTAATTAATTTAACATGAGCTACTTGGCTCTTAGTTATAATATAAATTTATCACTTTTTATAAACAGCAATATTAAAAAACTGAATTCTTCTGATATCGATGTAAATAATACTAATGTATATAAATCACCTTTAATGAATACTTATCAAAATCATGATAACATTTTTTTTTAAATAAGCAATTATTTACATTAATGAAAAAGAGTATCAATGAAACTTCAAAACACTCAATATTTCGTGGTGTTTTGTCAATCTTGTTTAGTGAAAAAGAAATATTATGTTGCTACAACGGTCGTTGATGTTGCGTAAAGGTCATACTACTTCAGGAATTTAATGTTCATACGATGAAAAAATAATTAAAACAAATTCAGAGTTTTTAAATCGTTCATCTTGACCTATTACACGTATGATTATCAACAATACAAGAATTATAATGTATCATTTAAATGTCCGCACGTCTATTGTAAACACAGCTTAACAGAAATGAATCTGAGGCTCGTTATGGGAAAGCCAAATTGATAAAATGAATTATTATATTGTTCAATATTCCAATTAAGAAAATATTTACAAAAATAATTGCAGTACAAATTTTTTATCATAAAATTATTGTCAAACAGAACAGAACAAAACAAAATAACAATAGATAAGGTACTAACAAAGAGGACCTTAGTGTAATTAATAACCCTATTTTTGATAATAACTTTAAGTAGTATTTATTTACACTTAAAAATGTCTATATTTTAAAACATACATTTTTTCTAAACATAAACAGTTTGTACTGAAGTTCATAATAAGCCTAATCATAGATTAAATTCTTATCAACATATTTCCAATTAAAAATTATGTACATTTTGATTTATTCAAAATACTACCCCTCATTTTTTTGTTACATTATGATTTATTCCGTAGGTCATGAATGATAATCTATTTTGCATACCCCTCCGTCTTTAACTAAATATTATATTAACTCAAAAAGTAATAATATAAAATTGGTAATTCTGTTTGAATTTTGATAATTTTTTATAAAATATATATTATTTGATATTAGGGCAAAAACAGTTCATGATAATCTTGTTAATATATTATGAATTAATATATTTTTGAAATATAAATTTCAAATGAGACGAAAATTGATTTTTATTAATACAAAATTCTAATCATTGAACAGGTTTTTTATTATAACATTGTTGTTATTCCTATTTTCAACAAGACACGAACAAAGTAATGTATGAGAAGAATTAGAGAAAGAAAGTTCAGAATTAGTAGATACACAGCAACAACTGATTACAACTCAATCTGAAAATAAAATGAAATTATTGAGTCCAAAAAAAATAGGATCCTTATTAGATGACAGTGATAAAGATGATGATGCTTTATTTCTGAGTTTAAATTTTATTTTTGAAAAGAATAAAAATTATTTTCAGTTAAGATAAAACAATAAAAAAATATAAACAGTACATATAATCTTTTTTATAATTATTATTTAAAACCAAAACACAGACTATAATACTATTATTCAATAAAGAACAATTTCATCCATTTAATATAACCAATACATAATGATAAAGCTTTGTAACAAAAAAAAACTTATGCCTTCAATATTAAAAGTAATTTGAAAATATTTGATTATCGTTATGAAATATAGCTATTATCTATATTTTTTTATATTAATATCATCATGTGATTTGGTTTGTATACCATAGTCAAATTTTTACATTAGTAAATTAACGGTATTCTTGAAAAAGAAAAACACTGAAACATTTAAATAATATAATTTTTTTTTCGATATCGATTTATTTTTTCATATGATATTGATATATTGCAATATTGGAAACATTTTTTTTTTTTTTTAATATTGCCATATAATATCCCTGAAAATCATATCGATGTCCAAAAATATATCCATAAACCCTAATAAAAATAACAAAACTATAAGAGGATTATAATTTTTATAAAAGTTTTTCAAGTTTGTTCTGTCCTAAAATATATTTTATATTATAATATAAATAATTATATTATGATTTTAGTGAAACTCTTTAAGCCATGTCTTCCCTAAATTACTTTTATGACTATAGTTTAATTTTTTAACTATTTAACTTATTATTTTTGTAAAAATATTGTAAGTTCACTAGAATAATGATTAAAAATTAAAAAATTTCATTTAAATATAAATTTAAACTTAAAATTTCACTTTAAACTCTATAAAACTTTAGATATTAATCGCTGTTTATAGATTCACTGATAAGTAAATCATTTTTTCTAACTCTTTTGATTCAAAAATTATGATTGATTAATAATTAATCTAAAAGCCATTAAATAGATTAAAATCAATCATGTTTCAAATTATTTAGTTCGTCAAACGTGTGAACACATAAGCATGAATAGTTTAAGCCCCTACCCCAAATTCGAGTAAACTTTACTTCTTAACCAGGTTAAATGAATATCCTGATTAATGAAAGTAACGAGGCAATGTAAAGCTAAAACTCGTTTAATAGTTTAATTACATGCCCATATAATTAACCCTACAATTGTACAGCCTATATTATTATTATTATAATACTTTTCTTGTTTATTGGGGTTGCTTATCGTTTTATATTGATTTGGAGAGTCCAACATGCAATACGTATTTAATTATTGCATATCTTTCATTTTAGTGAAGGTTTGTGCAATGGACATAGCACATAAAAACTTTTTTAGTAAACCTTAAAAAAATATCAAAAGCACATAATTATTTTTGTTGTGACACATTTTCAAAATTTGAATTAAAAAAATTCTTGGTTTAGAATTCAAGAACACATAATGTTTAAGAAGTGTAGATAAATAAAGATACCTTAGTTTTGATGTTAAATATGACGATAAGACTATCATAGTTAATTCCAAATGGTAGGGTAACTTATATGTAATACTATAACCATACACACGATGTAAAGATGTATCATAGATCTAATATATTACAAGAATTTATACAAAATACTGCAATTAATATTTGACTGGAATATGTAGACAAGATTATTAATTAATATAAATCTGATTTTTGTTTAATAATTCTAAAACATTATTATTATTTTAAATATTTTAATTATTTTACAACAAAGTATAAGTAATTTATACTTTATTGTAAAACAAAGTTTCATTCTGAAATTAAATTTAACATTTCATAACGGATCAACAAAAATAAATTGAACTGTTTATCAATGATTCCGTTTAAAAACATTTAGCGATTAATAATTTTAATTCATTTAAGTTGATAGAATTACATTGATGAACTATATACCTTATTATCATGGATAATCAATACTTATCTCTAATCTGAACTAAAAATATGTGTTAAAATTAATGCAAATTCGCTTAAATCAAATCATAAGGTTAATACATTTTTTCTGTTTATTTAGCTTAATCGTCGCGAGTATGAAATATTAACAAAATCTTTAAAATTAACCTTACCATGGTCGTAGCATGAAAAATATGTGATGGAAACTATAGTCCTATACTCTAATGCTTAGATTTTATGGGGAAATTTTACTTTAACTACATTGCTTTGTTTCTTCCCTCTCAAAAAATAAAAATAATTTATTTGTGCAGATTACGAATGTCCTTATGAGTACTTAAAGCCACATAAACCATACTAATAAACCCTAATTTATTACCCAAAAACTAAATTAATGTTTAGTTTTTATGTTGTTTTACCCTTTAATTGAAATGTTAAAGTACGTGGCTTTCTTTATTTTAGTTATTCACTAAAATTACATTGCAAAATACAAAATCATATAAATTTTTGAGTTTTAATACAAAATTATTTACCATAAAAATTTTCTTTTATATAAATTCATAAAAGTTTATAGGAGTTATATTTTTCTATAAAATAATAAATACCTATTTTATATTGAAAAATATCAACATATAACATAATAAATTAATGTATCATTATAAATTAAATATCAAACTGTCGACTACTTTTTAGTACTTCAAAATATTACAACAAAATTGATTTAAATTTTCATAAGACTTTAAATGTTCAATATTGTACTTAAAATAATGATCATTTATATAATAAATAAGAATATTAGAATTATAGATTATTAGAATAATAATAATTATTATTATTATTATTATTAATTATTAGAACTATAATTCTTGAATTCTTCCTTAAGATTGTACTGTCAGTAAGGCAAATTGCTCCATTTAAATATATTCAAGAATAATACGACGATTTAATCATGCAATTAACAGTATGAAATATGATGTTTTCTAATGTTCTGTAGAAATATTAATAAAAAAATTATATATTACTCGTTTATCAATTTACCTACCTACTTGTTTGTGTAAAATATACTGAGCAGTGTGGCGTTAGGATATTACATTTAATGACTACTTCAATGTTGTTATAGATAAATGGTAACCCCGAACATAACCATTTAAATAATAAGCAAACTGTAATAATATTTGAAAAAAAAACAAACAATTAGATGAATTCCAAATTAATGTATCACTAGTCAGAAGAATAATTTAATTAAAGTTTCTTGTTTAACAATTTCCTTAAATAATAAGTGTTTTCCATGACGTGGTAATAAATCTGTCAACTATTTTAATGATCTATAAAATCTTTTAAAGGTCGATTCATGACTATCAAGGTAAATGATATGAAATAGCACCTAAGCTTTTAACTTTTGAATTCATAATAAATTAAGAATATTAGTTTATATAATATAAAGATGTTCATTTTTTACTGGAAATTAACATAAAAAATATGAATGTATACGATTCTATATAAAAAAGAAATACTAATCAGTGGCATTTTCAGGGTTTTGTCTTAGGGTAAACATAAAACATTTTTTTACTATTACCTCAAAAATACATCTATTTTCATTATGGGTGTTCTGCTCTTATTATGAAAATTTAACAATTTTGATGATAATTTTAAGCAATCAACAGAGTTCCAAAGTACAATAATGTTTTTATTATCTAAACATCCAATTTCAATACATGCGTTCAAATGGAATTCAATTATTTGTTTTTAATTCTAAAAATCTATAATATTAAAAAAAATTACAAATTGTTACAATTATGAGTCTTATACAGTTCTACCATGTTTTTTTTTAACCATTTTAGGTAACATACATATGTAATAAAATCAATTACAATTAATTTTATTAATATCCTCATTTAATATATTTTTTAACAATATTCCTTTCTCTTGGAAAAGTGATTGAATTGTTTCAATGATTGAAAAAAAATGTGTCACATAAGAAATGGAAATTTCATTTGTAGATCTAGATGAAAATTGTAGTAGAGATCATTATAATAGATAATAACATTTTGTTTATAAAGCTACATAATATTAAATCATAATTTACCCTTTAAAATAATTTTTATAGATCATTGTCCGGATAATATTAAGAATTATACTTTATACTTAATACGTAGTGTTCACGAATTAACGTATTAAAATTTAATAACTCTTATATTTTAACAATGATAGAAAACACTTAGTGAAAATGTCTGTATAGAGCCATTCATTTTAAGTCACCAAATTGTATCCATAAATTATAATTCACAGTTAAAACTTTTAAAAATAAGCTGTATATGTCAAGTATACTTATTACCCACCCACTGAAAAAATTAAATATACTATGAAATTAAACGATTTTTCAAAGCTATAGGGTTTCGTATTAAGTTTTAGTGAATTTTAAACTTTAAAGTTTGTTAATAAACAAGAGAGTCCCTATAATGACAATAATTATAGTGACGTAAAAAAAGAACACTATCTTGATAACAATTTTGGTCTTTGAATGATCATTTGATATTCTTTATCTCTATTTTTATAAAACCATAACAATAATATCAAATGGCAGTTTTATTTAATAAAAATGCACTGGAATTCTAAGGTACCTAATGTTGGCTTAGGTAACTGCTAGATTCAGAACAGAACAAATAGCATTTTCATACATTATTAAACCTAAATGACCATTTAATATACAACAGGACTGTTGTAATTTGTATTAAATCGTTTAAACATTATTAATTTTTCTTGATAAAAGCCGTAATTTGATCACGTGCAAAAATCTTATAAAGTTTTCCTATAAATTAAACGTTTATCAATATTGAGTCGCGACTAACATTTGTTGGTTTAACAGAATAAACATTGTAATAATATGTTTAAACATAAGCGGTAGGAGATGAAAAGTAATGTAAAACACTTCAATTCACATCACTCTACAAAGCTAATTAAAAACAACACTGACCGTTGTTTTAAGCTCAATATCCATATTGTTATTGTTATTATTCATACGGCTACAAAGGTTATTTTTTATAAGAAAATATGAATGCTCACACACACACACACACACGTGTCGCATACTTAAATAATTATAACAATCATCACGTACAAAAAATATAAACGAAATATTATGTCATTATGTAAAATTAAATTTGCTCTACAGTCAAAACTTACTGGACGTCATTCGATGACGGTTGGGATGATGACGTACGACCAAAGCAAAAATCCTTACTCTAAACGATCCCGTTTCCCCTTGTCTTGTACAGCAACGACTCTTTCGATTGTTAAACCAAAATAGTATTCCAGTAGATTTTCTATGTAATAGAGAACTCCGACACCAAACAAAAGCAATAACAGCTATAACCACAAAACAGTTAATTATGCGCAAATTATATTACAGTAATTATACGCAAAAAATTTAAATAAATAATTATGAATCGACAACGGTAAACTATACGCACTGTCTAAATATTATAAAAAATAATCAAGCGAACTTTTAAATTCTTGTTATTCTAATATAATACTATAACGTCAAACGCGCGCACAACAAATGATATGAAACGACTGGCCGCGCGGAACCAAAGGAAGCGATTACTGAAACGAGAATAAAACGCTTTACACTAAAACGACGCAGCCCTATCAGACAAATAAGAAAAAGAGAGAGAACTATACGCGATTATTATGTACAGGATGATCAAATGCGTTTACTCCTATTAACAATCACACTCCTAGAGCTTTCCGACATCAATTGATTTCAGAAATTATTCCGAAAATTCTAGAAAAGAAAAATCGTTGATCGCGTATAATTTAATTTTAGTTACAAATATAATCAATCAAAACCATATCTAACGAGAGTCCAAGGAGTCCGAGTACCACAACGGATTTTTTTTCAAAATATACATGTATTTATAAATGTACAAAGTTATTCAGACCTAACTGACAAAACCATATACTTTTCTTTCAGTAAATTGTCAATTAGCCCTGAGACACTTTGTAATATGTTCAAAATTTATTTTACTATGATTATGGACATCAGTACATTTGGGCTATTTAGATTCAAGGTTTATATACTTAATACTCTTAAAACAGCTTTTAAAAATAATAATGTAGTTTGTTTATAATTAGCGTTGGTAACGTCAACGATAACAGAATGACGAAATAAAGAACGTCTGTATTATCAACGCAAATCACCTAATACAAATGTAATTATTGAAACCATAAGGAAATATAACACATTTACAAATCTATAAATGCTGATTCTGCAGAAACGATTTTAAGTAAATAATGTTACTAATTATATAATTATTATAGTATTATGAGCATTTTTATACTTCACGTGAAAATTTTATTTTTTATTAACAATGCTGTTTTAGTCACACGCGCGTATACAGAGATGACTTTTCTAATTTCTTATTTTCCGATGTTAAAAAAATTCATCAATGTCATTTACATTTTTTGGTTGGCAATTATACTTATAGCACCTTCAAGGTTTAAACTATAAGTTCACCTATGAATATACAAATTAATATGATATCTGCAGAAGTATGCCCAGGTTTAATTTTAGGACAGTACAGGTTATAATTATTATAATAAAGAGGTGTTTTATGAAATCATTATTTAAGAATAAAATATTTTTTTTGGGACCCGTGCCTACAGAACTAGTTTTTAGAACAGAATAAACACCGACCTACATATAGACACAATTGAATATCTGAATATAAATCTACATGATATGAATGAAATGATGAAAAAAAATTGAAAATGTATTGTACTTAATAAATATTAATGAACTATTTTCTGTGGTAGATTATTCATTGCTATATTTTATAATAAATAATTTATTAATTTATGACTAAATATTTTTTAATTTTCAAATTAGTACATTATTACACCAAATTTTGAAATAGTTGATCACAGTTTTCTATGAAGAGTTATTGATAGTATTATATTGCATCAGTATTGAATTAAATATGATTCAGTCATATTATCCCTTTAAACGACAATATGAAGATTAACTTAAAACTAACATGAAGAAGGTATTATTCCAATGTAGAATAGGATTCAGCACAGTGGCATTAAATTTTATACTCTAATTAGAAATTTACCAACTTTCAGAATTCTATTTTCTGAAAGTTATGCGGAGTTTCACCAATCTTTTTTTCTAACTACCATATTTTTAGATCATTGGGGCAGGTGTTCAAATAATTAATAATTATAAAAAAATCGAATAATGTTGTATTAGTCCAAAAAATCAGGTTCGCATTATTCGGGGGTCTGAGGTCAGATTTTTAATGGGCCACAAAAAAATGTTTTTCATAAAAACGGTATTTCTTGTAAACAATATTTTTTTATACAGTACAATACAATACAAATAAAAATTTCAGGTGATAAAAAAATTAATAATAATATAACTTTGAATTTTTAAAGTTATTTTATCAATTAGAAAAATACATGACTAGATTCATTTTCATTATAAGCCCTCGTGGGCCTGAGGATTATAACCCCCCGTATTTGTGTCTGCAATTGACTATAGTTTCAAAATCCACTTAAGATACTCTGTCATTTTTTACTTAAAAATATAATTTATAAATAGAAAGTTAAAATTTATAAGCATTTTATGTGTTAACAATTTTTTATGTCATTAATATAAATAGTAATTTTTTTGTTCAATTGAAATTATAGTAATAGTGGTGTAATCTAAGGGATAGAATATATATTTGATTTAACCTTGAGGCATCGGTTTTTCTAACCCTATCTTACCAAGCCAGCATTATATTTTATAATCCAGGGATTCAAAACATAGATGAGGCCTAAAACAAATTGTATCTCTTTCTCGAGTTAAATATACACTTCCAACTTTTTCTCAGTATTTACGTCATTGATTGTATTTTAATTCTTAACTAAATATTGATATTACCTATTTCATCTACGAATATGGTTTGCAATAACGTATGACCCTGTATGGCTCATGTCACTAACAACAATATATCATAGGAATAATATTTTACATCGCTATACATATAAAGATAACATACGGCCCATTATGCGCACATACGGGATGTGCGTTTGATCATCAATATAATAAATATTACATTCTCAATTATAACAACAACATGAAATGTTATTGTAGACCATCTCCGCCACAAAATCTGTTTTGAATAACTTGAATTAAAGCCAGTCGTTTTACAGTATAAAATGTAGTATTACACGCGATTTATTATTTTGCAAGTGGATGATTCCAAACATTCCAAATGAATGAAACATTTTTTACTCCCAAATTGTAATGGAGAAATAGTGATAAAATATTACATCAGTTAAGGAAACATACATTTTGAAAATGATTGGATGATAAGTTGCAAATCAAAATATGTTGTTAAAATGAGTTTAAATAAGATTTATATAAAGATGAATGTTACAAATTACCTCATGGAGTACTGTACTAACTATCATTGGTACCTTATAGCAATCATATATTTAGTTTTATACACTATATACTCCCATTATATATATTTTTAAAAAAGATACATTTTATGTAAAAAAATGTTTTCATATTTTTTTGGCACTACTCAAATGTATGGCGTCCTAGAGATTTGTATCGTCGCCCTTTCGTGACCCTTGTAAATGCGATTTGCAACATAGGCATAAAATATATAAAGTATATACAAAAATATATATAAAGTTAATTTATTACAATGGGTATTTAATTTTAATTTTATAGAATCTAGAGACAAAGATTTAGTTGATAACATTAAATTTTTGCTAACAATAAAACTCTAAAATATAGTTAAATTTAATTTTAAAACTATTTTTAATTCTCTGTTTGAGTTGAATAAATCCTTAAAATTGTTACAACTCACCTTTTTTACAGTACTTTAACTTTGTGGTTATTTTTCAAAAGCCGATAGATCTTTAGAGAGCTTTTTGCTCTCTAAAAAAATTTAATGGTATCTGATAAAATTGCTATTTTTGCAAAAAACAATTTTTCCTGAAAAATTGACTTGTAGTTTTATAGAATATGACAGATAACATCCATACATTATAAAAAATCTTAAAAAAAAAAAAAATTTTGTGACACATTAGCTTTTAGATATGAACCTCAGAATTATTTATTTTATAGGCGGAACTAACGATACATCCCCTCGTCAAAATTACATATTATACCATACATGACGTATAGTTAATATTCGAAATAAAAAATAATTTAACTTTTTCCGATGAAAGAAAGTTTTACTGTATATTAATATTGTATTAATTTAATGATTTATTATTATTATTTATTGATTACTTAATTATTTTATTGACCGCCCCGTATGTTATGTAAAATCAAATAATTTTTATTAAACCGGAAGTATTAAAAAAATTCTTTAGTTTTTAGTTGTTGAAAATAATAATTAATCGTTCAGCTATTCAGTGACATCCTTCAAATAATTAGGGTTAATTTAATTAAAAATTTTTCATCATTCTAAAACAAATAAAGTTATAGTTATTGATATAAGTTTGAGTTATTTTTCATTGATTTAAAAAAAAAATTCAGTATAATCTTAGCAAAAAAAACATTTTTATATGTAAAAAACCTCATATTTCTACCTATCCATTAATCTCTCTCAAATACTAAATTTATAAAAAGTTAATTTGGCATAGGTATCTTTGCTATTTTAACATCACAAAATTTTAATTTAATATCCCCAAAAAAAAATTTGTGTGGATTAGTTTACTTTTAAAAAAATTAGACATTAAATAAAAAAACAAATTTTCTTGTCTTTGAGTACATTTTTACTAATAATATCATCAATACAAATTAAGAAACATAATTATACAATTAAAATCAAAATTGTAAACAAGAAAAAATACATTTCACACTAGACAGAACAATTTGATTAAAATTCCTTTTTTTATAGTACATAAACATTTAAAATAAATAATTAAAATTAAAAAAATCAAGACAAAATATATTGCACACTATAACTTTATGAAATAACTTAAACTATGAAAATTGTCATTATCGAAGACATAAAATATTTTATGATAATAACTCTCTATTTTGTTTATTATTAGTTAAAGTTTTTAAATTTGCGCCAAATTAAACCAGATATATTTATTAGATCTGTAAAGGCCTAATCCACTGATTGTGGGTTAGGTCATTAAAAAAATTAATTATTCAAAATGTCAGATGTCATAGAATGCCGCTATCTAGAAATAAAAATACTTTAGAATATTAAGTTGATATGGCATCGATAAATTATCAAATTATATGTAATTTGAACAAATAAAACGATTTTTGGAAATTAATGACTTAGGTCATTCTAATGCTAAGCTCCTCAATTAAAATTTACCATTATTCGAAAACAGGTACAAGGGGACCATCGCAACAATGGTCCCTAAAATTAGAGTTACTTTTTAAAAAATAACTTAAACAACAAAAATTAAATGTTAAACAATGATTTTTATTTACTAATGTTGATGGACCTAATTAAAAAATAGATTTTGTATTTTAATGTATTATCTTATTTATTAGGTTAGTGGCCTACTTAACTCAGTTGATAACGTGGCTTGCCTCGGTGTGTAAGTAAAGGTCTTGATTCCGTCGCACTGAACTGTG